AAAACTCAGAACAAACCCCGTCCAACTATTCCCCTGCTAGGCGAGATCAAAGTCTCTGAAAACCATGAGTTCCAGTGCTCCTGAGTCCAGTGGGTACATCAAAACTAAACGACAAAAGAGCGGCTTGGTATATGCTGACTGATAAGTCTATGCTAGGGGTGTTCAAACGTTTTGCTTGAAGGGCCACATTTTGAGAGGTAAAAATAGGTCGGGTCATATTAAATCTGACAAAACGATAATAACCAAAAGTACATATGTACGAAAAGGTTCAACGCTAAAGCTTTTATTTCATGATCAGGCCGCGAACCAGTAGAAATGTTACCTTATGCGGCTTTTGGCCCACAGGCCGGAATTTGGACACCCCTGGTTTATGTTAACCCGACAAGCATTTTGTGCATCGCACGGTACCCAGGTTCGTTTCAATATGGTGAGAAGCAGCTTTTACGAGTGACGCTACAATCCGCAAACAAGCAGAGGTAATTCTTATTCAAACCACTCTACTTCCGGCAGCCAGATAGCATGTACGCATCTAGCCCAACCTCTCTTGGAATGAGTATCAGCGAAGAAAATAGAACCTGGATGAATACCACCAGCTGAAGAAGCAAAAAATGATATTTATTCCTATTGTCCATGAGCTTTAGGACTGAGGGGTAAGCGGCGCTTAAACTCTTGTGGGCTTCCATACCATTACGGGTTGTAGCGCCCAAAAAGATAACTCTTATCTTTCGTGTACAATTTACTTGTTGACCGATTGTACATTACTCCTTCTTGTTTTAATCTTACAACCGGCTCGACACACAACTGCCTTGTAAGTTCCCGCGCTCACGTGTACGCTCTTGCCTCGCTTCATCCGTCCGTTTCTTGTTGTAGTCCCATCGAATACAGTCCGCCGTGTCCGACTCCAATTGCCTTCTGATATCCGCGCTTAATTCCGCGCACCGTCTCGGACTAGTATTAACTAGTCCTACAAATTGGTGACCCCGATTCGCACGCGCGAATTCAACATTTTTCTCGTTTGTATTTTTTAGTGAGTTCGTTCCTTTTTCTCGATTATATACCTATATTCATTTGTTTCTTGCGTAATTTTAGTACTTTTTCGTATTTTGTTCGTTCTTTATCTTTCGACTCACATTTCGAGAGCGGCATCTGAGTCGTTTCACAGCGTAACCATGCTTACTTTGGCTGTTCCAAGTTTCATGGAACACAGTCCAGAAGTTTGGTTTAAGATATTCGAGATCGAGCTAGAAAATAAGGGCATAACGGCGGACCGTCCAAGGTACAATCAGCTCGTCCCACGCCTTCCTCCGTCGGTAGTGACGCTGATTGAGGACATTCTACTCTGCCCATCGAATGAGGCAAAGTATGAAACGATGAAGCAAGCGATATTGAAAGAGCTACGACCCAGCGCACGAGCACGATTTGAGCAGCTCAATGGTCTCATGCTTGGAGATCGCAAGCCGTCGGCATTGCTCCGCGAACTTCAGCGCATCGCTGGTCCCTTATTCTTGAGCGAAGAAGGGATAAAGGAGCTGTGGTTTGCACGTCTCCCAGAGCCATTGCCGGTAATGCTGTCCATGTTTATAGATGCACCCTTGAAAGACTTAGCTACCAAGACAGACGCTGCGTTCGAACGTTTTCCGCAGCAGACGACCAGTAACTCCGGTGACGTATTCTCACCGATGAAAACCGAATCCCATGTTTGTTCCCAGTCGCTAGACCGATCTGACTCTAAAGACGAGGAAATTGCGCTACTTCGCAGCAGGATAGCAGCAATGAAGGCTTCGAAGCAGCGGGTGCCACGGTCAAGTGCTGACCACGTTTTGGCTACCGTTCATTGCGGCTCGTCTGTGCCTGCACCGAGTACGTCACGTTCGGCACGAAAGCGCAACATTTCCCTTACAAGTTCTCAGTCAGATAGTGTCAAACCCGTCGAAGAAGTATGTTGGTATCACCGCAAATACGGTGAAAGAGCTAGACGTTGTCGGGCTCCCTGCATTAGGCACGACCCAGGGAAAACGAATAGCCCGCATACTAGCACTACAAACGTATCATTTAATAACCAAGTAAACCGACTGTTTTACGTTAAGGATCGACGTTCTTCCATCACGTTCCTCATCGACACAGGAGCGGAAGTCAGCGTCATCCCAGCGACCGCTAGCGACAAGCACTCGAAGCCTACGTACAATTTGCGTGCGGCCAACGGTTCTCCGATAGCTTCATTCGGTCAGCGCATGATGAACCTAGACCTCAATCTTCGCCGAGATTTTCAGTGGGTCTTCATGGTTGCGTCTGTACCCTTCGCAATTATCGGTATCGACTTCCTCCGACATTTTGGGTTGCTTGTTGATGCTGGTCGCCACAGACTTTTAGACGACCGTACGAAACTAGGTGTTGATGGTGTCCTTTCAGATGCCCCGGTAATCAGCCCTGTATTTCGGATCGCAGACGCACCGTCCGACTACTTGAGCCTCCTCTCCGAATACCCGCGACTGGTTCGACCGGCTGCAAAGCTTCCACCAGTCACGACAGAGGTCGCTCACCACATAGTTACGCGCGGTCAACCAGTTAGTGCACGACCAAGACGGCTTGCTCCAGACAAACTACGGGCAGCACGAGCCGAATTTGACCACATGCTTCAACTTGGTATCGTCAGACCGTCCAACAGCCCCTGGGCGTCGCCCCTGCACATGGTCCCGAAGAAGGTTGTGGGGGACTGGCGTCCTTGCGGCGACTATCGATCCTTAAATACGGTGACCACGCCCGATCGCTATCCGATACCACACATAGTGGATCTCACCGCCAGTCTGGCGGGTAAAAATATCTTCAGCAAAATCGACTTGGTACGCGCATACAACCAAATTCCGGTAGCCGAGGCGGACATCGCTAAAACTGCCGTGACGACTCCATTTGGTTTGTTCGAGTTTCTGCGCATGCCATTCGGTCTAAAGAACGCCGCGCAAACTTTTCAGCGTTTCATCGACCAAGTTTGTCGCGGTTTAGACTTCGCTTACGCGTATCTTGACGACATTTTAATCGCCAGCTCTTCACGAGAAGAGCACATACGCCACGTACGAACACTTTTTGATCGTTTATCTCAACACGGGGTGACGATCAACGCAGACAAGTGTTCGTTTGGTGTCGATTCAGTTAATTTCCTGGGCCATCGTATCTCTTCTGCAGGCGTCGTGCCACTGCAGGATAAAATTCAAGCCATTATCGACTACCCTGAGCCTCATTCTTTCAAACAGCTCAGGCGTTTTGATGGCCTGGTCAACTTTTACCGTCGATTTATACCCAACTGCGCCTCGCTGATGCAACCCCTCACGGACCTTCTCCGAGGGAAACTCAAGAAATTCGAATTTCCTGCCTCAGCACGCGCTGCTTTTAAGTCGCTGAAAGAGGCTATCGCCAACATAGCTTCCATAGCACATCACGATCCGACCGCCCCACTGTCCCTTAGTACTGACGCCTCGGACGTCGCAGTCGGCGCTGTTTTGCAGCAACGAGTATCCGACACGTGGCAGCCCTTAGCGTTTTTCTCCAAACGCCTAAACCCTACCGAATCTCGCTACAGCACGTTCGGTAGAGAACTTCTTGCCGTATATCTAGCGATACGTCACTTTCGACACGTCCTAGAAGGCCGCTCCTTTGTCGTCTTCACCGACCACAAACCCCTGACTTACGTGCTCCGCTCGACTACCGACCGATACTCTCCTAGAGAGTCGCGCCACCTTGACTATATCGCTCAGTTTACGACAGATATACGGCATGTCTCAGGTGTGCACAACGCCGTCGCCGATGCACTTTCTCGTATCCAGGCTATCTCCGCTGACGCCGGCACTGCTATCGACTTGGCAGCCATGGCCACAGCGCAACTTAACGACCCTGAGGTTGATCTACTACGCAGGTCTCCCTCATTGGACATACGACCCGTTCCGCTGACATCATCAGACGGCACCATACTCTGCGATCTATCTCTGGGCACGCCGCGCCCAGTCGTCCCACGTGAGTTTCGGCAGACCGTGTTCGACGCGTTGCACGGCTTGTCTCATCCAGGCGTTCGTGCATCGGTTAAACTCGTAACCGCACGCTTCGTTTGGCGCAATGTTAATCGGGACGTCCGTACCTGGGCAGCTGCTTGCCTTCCGTGTCAACGCGCGAAGGTGCACAAGCACACGAGAAGCCCATTAGGCACTTTTCCGACGCCAGACGCACGTTTTCATCACGTGCACGTCGACCTCGTAGGTCCTCTGCCGCCTTCCAAAAGCTCGGTATATCTACTGACCTGCATCGATCGATTTACTAGATGGCCTGAGGCCGTCCCCATCCCAAATTGCTCCTCGGAAACGGTAGCGAAAGCTTTTATGGAGCGCTGGGTAGCACAATACGGCTGTCCCGCCATCGTGACCACCGATCGAGGGTCACATTTCTCGTCGACATTTGCCATGTTGCTTAAGGATTTAGGCTGTCGCCACGTCCAGACGACGGCGTATCATCCGGCCGCTAACGGCATGGTGGAGCGTTTTCACCGCCAGTTGAAGGCAGCGCTACGTGCGCACGCAGATCATTCATGGTCTGAAACACTTCCCCTCGTTCTCCTAGGCATAAGAAACACTGTTAAAACCGACTTCGACGCCACACCAGCGCAGCTAGTCTACGGTTGCACGCTGCGGTTGCCCGGACAGCTGGTAGCACCAGCCCCATGTACTTCCACTTTTGACTACGGAAGTTACACTGATCGATTGGCTCACCAGATGCGTGAGTTACGTCCACCCGCGCCTCGATCGCAGAAGACACCGGTGTACGTGCCCGAGAAGCTGTCTACGTGTTCACACGTCCTTCTTCGCGCAGACGGTGTTCGACAGCCTCTTCAGTGTCGCGCTATAGCCCGCACTGGCCGGCTGCCCCAGTGCGCGGACGCGCCCCCCAGGGGCAAGGGACCCCGCCCCGCCGGCTGCCGAGCGCCAAGCGGCCAGCCTTCCCCAAGCGCCCTGCGCCAGCGCCCGCCCGCCAGCGCCCGCCGCCGCCCGCCCCGCCCGCCTCCCGGCGCCCCAACGGCCGCCGCGCAACCCGCGCCGAGGTCCCGACCCGCGTCCATCGAGCCCGCAGCTCGCCGCAGCGGGCGCGGCGGCACGCCGCGGCCCCGCTGCGACACCTCGCATGCGCCCGGCGCCCCAGCAGCGCCGCGGCCGGGACGCGGGCCACACGCGCCCTGCGGCGCCCACGGCAGCGGCTGCGACCCGTCCGGCACCTCAGCCGCGGCGGGGACGCCCCCGCCCCGCAGCCGCCCCAAGCGGCGCCGCTCGCCGCCCCTGCGCGGCCAACGAGCCCCCGCCCGGCCAGCACCTGCCAGCCCGCCGCCGCGCCGCGACCCCGCCGCCACCCCCCCGACCAAGGCGCCACCGCCGCCCCGCGCGCGCCCTGCCCCGGCCGCCCCGCAGCGTCCCGCGAACCGAGCCGGCCCGCCACCGCCCCGCCGCTGCGTCAAGCGGCAGGAGCCCGCCGCGCCGGTCCCGGCAGCGCCATCCACCCTCGGCAGCCAGCCGCACCGCTCAGGGCCCCCCGCGGCATCGCGCGCCGCCGCCTCGCCCCGCCGCCCGCCCGCAGGACCCGAGCGAACACATGCGCGCGGCACCGCAAACCCCCCTAGCGCCCGCAGACTGCCGCGCGCGCGGCCCCCCGGCGCGCGCCCCGCGCCGGCCGGCGCGCCCTCGGAGCCGCGCCCCCCAGCCCGGGAGCCGCGGCCGGTCCTCCCCGCGCACGGCAGGCCGTCCGCCTCCCCGACAGGCCCCCCCCTGCCCGACTCGCGCGGGCGGCCGGCGCCGCCCGAGCACAGCAAGCGCCGCCGCCGCCCGCCGCACCCCCCCCAAAGCGCACCCGGGACCTCACCCCCCCGCCTGCCC